TTCCTGTATGGTAACGTTACATATCAATGAAATGAAATCATTGTATTATAGATAAAGGTCTTAGCTTTAATTCTATGATTTGTTTTTTTGGTCATACATTTCCATTTTTGGAGGATCCACACAGCAAATAAAGTTCAGTGACTAAGTGACTGGCACTATAGTACTAGGATACTTTTTCCGTGACAGGGTATCTGATCAATTCTTCTGTATAAAAGGGCCAAATTTTGAATTTTGAATTTTGAATTTTTGAATTTTTGAATTTTTAAAATAATCTGATCTATTTTTCATCATAACCTTTCTTTAATGTTTCTTTGATTCTAAGGGTATATTTTTCATCATAGCCTTCCTTGAGTTATTTTTTGATTTTAAAAGTATAGTTTTTAGTTAAGTCTTCCTTGAACACTTTGTTGGTTTTAAAAGTATAATTTTCTTCATAGCCTTTCTTAAACACTTCTGTATCCTAACAGTATAGTTTTTAGTACTAACCTTTCTTGATCTCTTGTCCCTTATCCTTTACTTCTATCATTAGTTATTCTCAAGGTACAGTTTTACTTCATTTTCTTTTTATCTCCAGAATTTTACATCTAGGCTTCTTCAAACATTAATTATATAGTATATGATAATAACATATAATGTCTTTTGGTGGTGATAGTATTTACTCTTCCTTTCATTCAATGGCTATGGTATTAATGCTTCCTTTCATATTTATCCTTGTTATATTTGTTTAAATTTTTTTTACCCAATTTGAAATGATTGGTCGCACAGGAATGGAACTGTAAAATTCAGTGCAGTTATTGCAACGAATTATCTAAACATTTGTTGCTCAACTTTAATAAATTGAATTGTTGGGAGACAAGCTGTTTTTTTCTTTTTTTTACTGTGCTGGCTTGAAATGAAATTAGAACAGAAATATTTAAATGTTTATTATTATTATTATGGTTATTTTTACATCGGCTGTATCATGCCTATATACTGTATCTATCATGATTTGTGCAACTGAAAATTTATTTTTGTTCAAAAGGTTAGGGTTGAATGAAGAAGATACTTGACTGAAAGGAAATCATGCTTTGCTTTAGATTTTTTTGCATGATGTCTACCGTCTCTTGTCCCTTATCCTTTACTTCTATCATTAGTTATTCTCAAGGTACAGTTTTACTTCATTTTCTTTTTATCTCCAGAATTTTACATCTAGGCTTCTTCAAACATTAATTATATAGTATATGATAATAACATATAATGTCTTTTGGTGGTGATAGTATTTACTCTTCCTTTCATTCAATGGCTATGGTATTAATGCTTCCTTTCATATTTATCCTTGTTATATTTGTGTAAATTTTTTTTACCCAATTTGAAATGATTGGTCGCACAGGAATGGAACTGTAAAATTCAGTGCAGTTATTGCAACGAATTATCTAAACATTTGTTGCTCAACTTTAATAAATTGAATTGTTGGGAGACAAGCTGTTTTTTTCTTTTTTTTACTGTGCTGGCTTGAAATGAAATTAGAACAGAAATATTTAAATGTTTATTATTATTATTATGGTTATTTTTACATCGGCTGTATCATGCCTATATACTGTATCTATCATGATTTGTGCAACTGAAAATTTATTTTTGTTCAAAAGGTTAGGGTTGAATGAAGAAGATACTTGACTGAAAGGAAATCATGCTTTGCTTTAGATTTTTTTGCATGATGTCTACCGTTGTCTACCATTAGGTTTTTGTCTTGCTCTGACATTTTGGACCATTCAAAAACTAATGGCTCTGTCTTGGAGCCTTTACCTTAGAACCTCAGAATTAGTATCAATATTAATGTCATGAGGGTGGGGTTCAAAATACTTTTTCACGGTTTTTTTTTTGTTGTCAGTTTAATGAACAATAAACAAATTTTTTGATTGATTATATTGCAGTATTGAATTAAAAATTTTTTTTTTTTATTTTGACCATTTGAGAGATAGTAATAATGGATGATCTGGGTGGGAAGAAATTTATTTTAATTTCCTTTTGGAGAAAACAGATAAATTAATCTTTGCAAAGGATTTTTTTTATTAATTAAGAAAAGAAAAGCTTGGTTGATTTTTTTAACAATCAAAATTTGTCAACAACTAATAATGTGATGAAAATCAACACTCAGAAAAGTGTTACATATCTTAATATTAATGGCATACCAGCATCAAGATATCAATTTCCATAGCATAACATGTTTGATTTTATGGTGCACAAGTTAAGGTTGCGGGAGAAACTCCTCCAGAAATCAATCGACAGAGTTTCGACAGGTTACACATTAATTGTTTATTAGAGTTTCGGCAGAGTTTCGCATTTGGGGTTTTTGCCAATCATCAGAGTTTCGACAGGTTACACATTAATTGTTCATTAGAGTTTCGACAGAGTTTCGACAGTCATTAAGAGGTTTCGCCCACAACCTTAGCACAAGTCTCAGGCCTAACATTTCCACATGCAACATTTAGCTATAGATCATAATATGTTTGCTTGGTATCAAATATATGTGGCAATGAGTTCAGTTTCTTCCTGTAAGTCATTAGAAATTTTATCTTTTGAGTTTGACTGCTCAAAAGTAGATGTGAATGTCATAAATATTGAATTACTTAAACAAAAAAGTTAAAAGAAATGATGCACAAAGCCTTGATTGATATTATGTGTATTGAACCAATAAATTCTTTAACAAATGGATTTTTGACAGTGAAGAATCTAAACATTATGTCAATTGTTTCTGTTGTGAATTTTTTGGATGTTCCTATTAAATTTAATTGATTTGATTATCAGGATCTGAAATATTATTATCATTGTAGTTAGATTGTTTAAATGTTTGTTTAAAAAAGTCTTTCAGTTTAAGAATAAAACTAGATGAATGCTTTATGACAGTGATAAAGTCACTGATGTTACTTGTTATTTATTATTTTAAACCTCTATTCAAATAAAGGCTATTATTTGAATTATTTGTAATTGATTTGAATATCCAAATTACATTGGAATATACTATGACAAAGTTGAATGATATTTTTTTTTGGTGTGATGAAGGGTTGCTATGCCACAATTATAAAATGTTTCTTTAAATGTTTTTGTTCATGTATAAATATATGAATATTTTTTATTACTTACAAGCAAAGCAATGTAAATTAAAAAAATCATTCACACATACAAGGAAACATGCATATTTGTGCACATTGATTTTTATTTTAAATGTGCATACATACACATTAATTTAGTTGAAAATTTGGGGTGGGGTGTTTGGATATGAAATTCTGATTGGCTAATTTGAATTTCATTCACATATGCGAATTGCAAATTCACAGATTTCATTTTCACGCACAACAGTATTATCAATTTTATTTATTTGTTGTAAATTGTTAAATTTATCAATCCTTTGAATACAAGCTTTTTCCCAATCAAAAACTTCACTATCTGGCACATTAGTTTTAGATTGGTATACAATAAATCTCAATTAAATGGACAAATACATTCCAAAGTTAACTATAATAACGGATTTTATAACAAATCATATGATACTGTTATATACTAAAAAGTATCGAAATAAAATTATTTTTATGGTTTAATTATTAAGAATATAAACCTTGTTTTTATCAGACCATTTGTTCTTTAAAAATTAAAAGTCTGTTTTGTTCGTTTTAATGGTAAATCGATAATTACCGCTAGTTAAAAATAACAACGATAATTATTCGTTGTATCGAGATATTAACTGCTAGTATTGATATGAATTTTTAAAAAATATACGATGAATCAAAGTGTGTATTAATATTAAGATGAAAAATC